ACACACACACACACCACAGACACAGACACACACACATAGATCCTTCAGCCTAAGCCTCACATAGACACAGCTCACAACACACCACATACAGACACAGACTCACATATCACACACATACCACACACCACACACATACACACTCACCATATACAGACACAGACACAGACACACCACACACCACACACACACACCACACACAGACACACAACACACACATACATACACACACACCACACATAAACACTACATACACAGACACCACACACAACACACACAGACACACCACATACAGACACAGATACACACCACATACACACACCACACACACACACACAGACACCACACACAACACACACACCTCAGACACCCCACACCACGCACACACACCACATGAGTCCATTTTCCAGTACAGGAACTTGGGGCGCAGTTCTTGGGTGAGAGGCTTTTAGCCGCAGTTGTGCTGTTGGTCACACCCGTCCAGACAGCCCCCAGCGCGTCAGGGATAGGAGTTTCCATAAACCCGGCCTCATCCTTCCTGAGGACGCGGCCACTGCGCTTGGTCAGGAGCTTCACTCACTGGCAGTCCATGGAGGAGGGGGAGGACGAGAGAGGGAGGAGAGGGGACAGGGAAGGGAGAGAGGGAGGAGAGGGCAGGACACGGGCCTCCTCCTGCAATTCCAAGCCTCAATGTGTTCTCTGTTGAGTCAAGAGACTCGGGTATAAATCACCCCATTCCGATAAATCACTGGTGAGTTCCTTTCTGCAATAGTTTTAAACTCTGGTGGAATCCTTCATGGTTGCAGAAGTGGTCAAGGTTCCATCACACTTCTTTTTTTTTTTAACTGGGTCTTAAAGGATGAGTCAGCCCTACTGTGCGAGGCCCAGAGAGGTGAAGAAACATCCTCCAAGGGACCCGGGAGGAGGGAGAGAGAATCGGGGTGGGGCCACTTGCCAACTGTGACCGCGGTTCACAGCATGACCCATCCTGCAGTCAGCTCTGGGGCCCCCTCCCTGTTCCAGGCCACCTGTCCCTGCAGTTGGGGTCAGCAGCTGAGGATCATGCTGGGAAGTCCCTGGGCCAGCTCATTCCTCCCAGGGAAAGTGGCTGGGAGAGGGTGTGGCCTGGGAGAGGCTGTGGACGCATGCCCTCCACTTGCTGGCATGATTCAGCTAGCCTTATCTACCGCACCGGTGGCCCTGGGGATCTGGGCCAGTCACAGTTTGAGAGCTTGGAGACATCTTGAAAACTCACCTCCATTTACACACGAGCAACCAAGGAGTCGGTGCCCAAGGCCACCAACCCAGAGCTGAAAATCAAAGCTCAGCGATCCTCAGGGCCACAGGGCCGACAGGAGCTGCCCAGGGCGTATTTCCCAAGCACAAGCAGCTCTGCACAGAGGTCACTTCTCCGACCTCAAAAGCCACTTTTGCAATGCGGTTCCTGGGGAATCCTGACTCACTAAGTTAAATAGAGGCTGGCCAGCCTCCACCCTCCACCAGCTCCTGGCTGTGGTCAGCCCACCGCTCCCCAGAACTCACCTTCCTGTGCCCAGGAGTCACCCCCATCCCCTCCAACCCCCTTCAAGTCTCACACAGCCAGCCTGCTGTCCGTGTCCTCCACAGGGACAGCACACAGGCCTCTTCCCCAGGTGCTCACCAGAGCGGCAGTTTCACGTTTATTTGTGTGTATTGAACAGAGGTCTCTGGCCCCTCCTAGACACGAAGCTCCGTAAGGCCAGGCACCATGACATATTCGGCCCCAGCACCTAGCACCCTGCCTGACACAGAGCAGGTATCCAGTAAGCGTGTGTTCAGAGAAAGAAGCTTCAGAATCCAGCACATTTGCATACTATCACATATGGTCAGCGAGCCAGCACAGGGGCCCAGGCCTGCAGTCCCAGGTACTCAGGAGTCTGAGCCCGGAGGATCTCACATCCGAGGCCAGCCTTTAGC